GTTAAAAATTACATTAAAATTGAAAAAGAAAAGTTTTTGAATTAGTTTCGACAAGACTGATAAAAATTATTCATACAGAATTTATGAAAGACATAAACACTTCGATTTTTTTTACACAAAGATTTCATATATGTTTGAAAAGCAATTTACTGAGAAAAAATGAAATATATATCCTGCTTTTAAATAACCCTTATTGAGGCTGTTATTCAACTTCAAAAAAAAATAAGAATTATGATTTTTTTAAATATGAATGTTAAAAAAATATTTATATACATGACAAAAAGCATTTAATTTGTAATAATATTAAAAAAAAAAAAAAAAAAATCGAAATACTTTGGTAAATTGCACAACTTGTTTTGCTGATGACATTTTTGATTTATATTTTATATTAAATCACTTTAACACATTTTACAATTTAGCCTCATTAACAAAAGTATTATATTTTCCTAGTTATAATTTTCTTGGAGGCTAAATTTATTCTAAGAAAAAAAAACGTATATCAACATTAAAAATTCTTTCCTTGTACTTAAAAATAGATTTTAAGTTTTAGAAAAAAAGAATTATATTTACATTTTAAAATCAGCTTATATGAAGCTATTTATGAAAAACTGTTTTAATTTAGAAAATAGTATGTAAAATAAATTCATCACATCAATTAAAATTTATGTATTTTTTGATTGCATAAGTCATTTATCAAATAGTAACTATTATAACACAACAAAATCATAAGAATATAAGAATTTTTACATAAAATTTGAATTTATATATCATACATATAAATACCACTAATATGATTGTGACAAAACTGCAGTGAATTTTGTGCTCAATCATAATAAGTTTTTTGAATCAGTGGTTATTTAACTTCATTTGTGCTTAACCGAAAAGCTAAAAAGGTAAAACGAACTCAATCGTGCAATAACCATTTTAACCATTTAATTATGTATTATATAATATCATTAAATAGATAAATTAACACTGATATTATTTATAAATCATTCAAGGATAAAGATTATACAATTGCCGCGCATTTATAATCAATGATAAATACTATACTTATAAATTACAATTGATTTATCGACTGCTAAATACATTGAGAATCTATCATTTAAGGGCATATTCAAGAATTCCTTTTTATAGAGGTTAAAAACTACTTTAATTGTATGAAGTATCGAATAAAAACAAACACAATTATAATCACTTGGAGGTAAAACATAAAATGTAGTCGCTGCAAAAATTTTATGTAACAACTTGTAAAGAATTTCGATGATAAAAAATATGATCGTCTACAAGTATTATAATAATGCATAATGTATAGCTTTAACACTCTTGGCATACTCATGTTTTATCAGGAAAAAAAAATCATGATAAAAATTGTTGAAATGTAACAGTTCAGTCGTAATCGTGTGAACGCTAAAACGAAAGTCTCGATAGTAAACGTGTGTGCTGTTATCGTGTTTTAAATATAAACTTAAATATATATAAATGTGTTAAGTGTATCTATTTGTTTCATAAAAAAAAAGTGTCTCCAACAACTATATTTCATATTATATTGTTGTTAATTTTATTGTTTGAAGTCTTTATAAGTTTACGATGCCAGGATATACATATAATATGTTCAAAAGTTTTTAAAGAACGTACGTTAAATAATAAACGTATACCATTATATCTCATTATAAGGTGACAGTGCTGGCTGAATTAAATTTTGGATATGGATATATTGTCATTCCCTTAAAGCGTATAGGGTAAGATGTTTCAAATGTTAGCGTATATTCGCTCGTGTGAGTGATACGACGAGATTTTTTATTCAAGCATGACCCTACACCTCAAACTTCTGCTATATACATAAATTGCAGTTAACAGTAATGATTAAAACTATTAATATAATTAATACACTATTAGTGAGTCATTTATCCTTGCATATTTAATGCATTTCTATGCATATACACTTTAAGAGTTAATTAAAACAATATTATTGTCACTTATAAAATAACACTGTTTAGATTGAAATTGTAATATCGTCTTCATAAAAATAATAGAGATTCAAATTTTATGATTTTTTTTTTTTATTAATAAAATGTTATGTAATGTAAGTTATAGAAAATTATTAAAAATGAATGATATTGTAGTGATCAAAGTAGTGAGCAGACGATGAAACTTTCACTAATAAAAAATAATATCTACTTATGGGTTGATATTAGCTTTTTTTAAAGTCTAAAATGATAGTCTTTTGACGTATTCGAAACCTAGTGCAGTCGCGAAAACGGGTGCAACGCAATTGTGCCAATGCAGTAGACCTATATTATAGGACGGAGTAGAGTGTGGACATTAATGATTACACGTCTGTGCATTTAAAACGGCTCCTCCACGACGCCACCGCGTATAATCTGCCGACCGCGTGCGATGACAAACGATCGTCAGGGCACAAAACTCCGCCGCACCTGGTGTACCTCTCACGGTGACGGTATAGCGACGACACGCCCGTTAAAAATACTCATTTCCCACACACACACACACATACACGCGCGTACACCGAGTTATATATAGGTATATATGTATATTGTATATGTATAGATAGATAAATAGATACGCATGTATCCCAAGCGCAAGGCTTAAATAAATGCTCGACAATTTACTGGCACTTTGCACACAGCTGCTAATTCCTGCACCGGAGGGCTATCATTCATGCTTAATCATACAACAGCACTGCGTCGGACATGAAGCGACGGCAACCGGGGTGAAAAAAAAATGTAAAAAACCATATTGCACCTCGTTACCTTCTTCAATTATTCACAAACAAAAAAAAAATAATAATAATACAAAAAAGAAATACTAGGGCCTATGTAGAGGAATAAATCTAGTGATCAATACACTGGCAATGGTGGTCGTACGATTTAAATAAATAAATTAAAAACCAAAATACATATATGCGTTAAATGATTTAACTTTGTCAGAATGAAATTTTTATTATTACCGTTCTTCTTCCACCAACGGCAGATCAATTAAACCTCAATAAAGTATAGAATTCTTGAACTGATCAACTAATATTAATCGTAGACATAAATATCAACAAAAACGATGATAACGTAATCGAAAATTGTTTGTTTAGAGGTACGAGTATATTGTCTGTTTTTTAAAAAATGTTGTCGCTTTGGAGACCTTTTCACACTGATTATATTTTTTTGCATAACATTATTCTAAAAATGTATTGAAAATATTGTCAGGATCGTTATATTAATTTTTATTGTTGATGAAAATGTATTCTTAAAAAGTAAAATAAAAAGTAAAATGCATATTTTAATAAGGAAATATACTAAAGAACTTTATTCGAATCATTTAATATAATTATTTTGTGTCTTTGTAATAATGCATGCATTATATTTAAAATATTAACAATGGTAAAAGGTTAGTATAAAGAAAATTCTATTAATAAAATATGCGTTATTTTAAGTTATGTTTATTTTCTTTTTTTTTTTTCATAGTTCATATAAGTAAGAAAAAAGTTTATTTTCTTAAACGTGAAATACTTATAAATATTTGTACTGCAAATGTATAGCATAATATAATTTATTATTATACAAGGAACGTTTTTTTTTTTTTTTTGTAGTAATAAAAAAGAAAGAAAATAATATATAATGTAGAATATAAATATAAAATATTAACTAAATATTTGTAATATATTATTATAAAAAAAAAAAAAAAAATGTTTATAAATTAGCGGTTAAACAAAAAAAAAAAAAATTACATCATCTAAATATTGCAGAATTAAAAATTAAAAAAAAAAGATTGAGTAGATTATTTCTTTGTTGTAAAAAATATGTGGTTAGTATACTTCGTCACTGTGAGTTCTAAGTCATTATAATATACGCATTAAATTTAATTCAATACCTAATAATTTGTTGCATACAAAAACCTATTCTGAGCGAAGATGGTTGATATACCTATATTACAAGTAGTATATTTTATTAAATATTTATATTTCTTCTAAAATAATGTTTTAAATGTGATCGATTAAATCGGTTTATGCCAAAAAAATTAAAGTTTAGAACGTCAGTGTGTTTATAACATAGTTTTGTATCTTAATAGTTTAAATCCCCTTGAAAAATATTTTTGAATTACAACAAATTCTTTGACATCTTTTAAATACCTAATTTCCTACGAATTTCAAATTAAAATGGCTATAAAAAGAATAATTTTATTTATATATTTTTTATATATTTTTATTTTAGTAATAAGTAATAAATATCTATTTATAGAAACTAGGTATTAATTTTCCAAACTTAAGTTGTGGAAAAATGTATTTTTTTTTCTGTTTTTATAATTTAAAAAAATATTAAAAATGAATAAAATTATTATTATTTGTATTGTGTTATTTATTTATACTATGATATGATTCTCTATAAAGATTCAACGACTATCTGTTAATACATATTTTTAATATTTTTTCAACGAATATTTCATAGTTTTAATCTTTCTATGTTTACAGTTTTTAAATGTTTTTTTTTTAATATTTTTAATTTGTATTTTTATCAGAATAATTTAAATTAATTGTATTATATTTTTATTACATGAAACTATAAAATTATTAATTTAAATAGATTTATTGCTACTTTTTATCATCCTAACTTATAAGTAATTTAAATAATATATTCTACTAATAGAACAAGCACAAAAAAAAAAAAAAAATGTTTCACATTTGTAAGGTATTGAATTTAAAATATAAATTTTAAAAAATATTATACTGCTAAAATAACCTAATCACACACGATTAACAAAAAATAATGAGCATTTTAATCAAATTTTGATAGTCAATAAACTATGGATTCAAAATAAATCTAATTCGTGTATGGAATTCTAAAATGAATAGTTATTGTTTTTATAAGACGCAATAAAAATATTTATACTAAAATCACATTAACACGTACATATTAAGTCTATATAATAAATGTCCAATAAACAATTATAAGAGATCATATTATGTAATAATATATCAATGTACTTACTCGTGATACGTTAAAAATGATAATAAAAAAAATAGACACGCCAAAACATCTGCTCTTCCAACGATTCCCGTAACCTGAAACAATTTTTAAACTGATGAAACATTTTTCCACATCCTAACCAAACTTAATGTTAAATACACATATTTAATAACTGCTAAATATAATGGACCTATAAAATATCAAAGCATTAAATAATAATACTTGACTTCATATTTATAAAATACAAAATAATCTATATATTTTATGAAGCGTTTTGTTTTAATTAAATATTTTTATTTAGAATTGTTTTGTGGATTCAATAAAATTCTAATGTTTTTGATTTTATCTGAGGCAAATTTAAAATATCGATTTTACCATATAATATATTTTTTTCTGAAAACAATATTTTTTTACGTACATACATTAAAACATTGCAAATAAAACTTGTGGTTTGCCGGTGCAGATCGATGCTAAATATGGGTTTCGTTACCTAAATATTTATGGTGCGTGTACTTACAAAATTAAATAACATTATAAAAACGATACTACCAAAAGGTTAAGTCTTTTAGTAAGAACTAGACTGGTTGCATGTCATATACACAATCGTGATAAATATCGGTAATATTTTTGAATTTTTAGTGGACAATTTGGACGTTTATTTCAAGATGAAGGGAATAGTTGAAATACTGAGAAATAATTTATAGAAAAACATTATTGATATTTAAAAAACTACGTGTGAAATAATATATTGACAATTTAAGAAGTATTATATTATCTTTAAATATAAAATAAATACTTTTTAACTAATACACCTATATGCTTAAAAGTCTAAATATACTTGTGTTTATTTGGTTCAGTGTTTACTCATAAGCTTTCATAATATATTTATAAAAAATGTTTGAATTTATTGTTTATAATAAATAATAATACGCATCACAGATATTCTATTATCGAATGTATTACACAATAACATACTAAAAATAATATTAAAATACGTATTGGAGTAAATCGTCTTCAGTTTTTATTGATGAAAGTAATTTCAAAATTATTAACTCTATTCCTGTATAATATAACTAATTAATATTTTATATTTATTTATTTATACTGTATTATTATTTAATCATAAATTAAGGAAATTATAATTAATATAAAAAATAAAATAATTATACATTTTTAATACTTTATCCTTTCTCAAAAAATTCAATTTATCGATTCTGGTGATTTGGTCTGGCTATGGGTGAGGATGTTAGTAGCTATTAATGTAGGTAATAGATATAATATAATATGGCATAACATGGCCATTTAACACAATAAGTGCATATTCTACACGTAATAATATTACACATCTTATAACAAGATTTGCGTAAGCGACACAAAGATTGCAGAACTTTCTATGAAAAAAAGGAAAGCTATCCTAACCTAATCTAACCTAACCTAACCTAACCACGTGCCCTTGTTTCCAAAAATGCGGTACTTTGTCGACAACAGTGGAGCGTGATCACAATGGTATACCTAACGAAATTAAAAGCAATTCAAAGCACACACCACTGCCACACGTACATATCGTCCAGACCTTTAGCCGTCAAGGGAAATTACACAAAACGGCAGACATTTCATCTCAAGTTCGAGTCAACAAAAATAAAATCGGTGGAAAAAATAAAACTCATCCGTAACACACACGATTGGAAAGACGGAATGGGATGAGCTTTTGCAATTAAAACAATAAACGTCTCCGAAGCACCATTATTATACAAGTGTGCCACAGTGTTTCCCAAAGGATGTGCCACAGCACACTGAAGTCCCTTGAAATTTGAAAGATATGCCTCGAAAAGTTGAACTTTATACACACACACACACACACACACACACACACACACACACACACACACATATATATATACCATTTATATTTGGAAAGTAGATAATATTTAATATTTATCCAAAGTATACCATGACTTATAATAACTATATAATTATGTGTCACGATGGAAAAAAGTTTGGAAATCACATCTGTATGCCTTCTATATGCATATACCGTAACCATGGTTCTATCGTACTGCGACAACGAGGATTTATATATTATTATTATTCTACTAAAATTTTGTCTTCGTCGATTATTTCGTGTGTTTTATTTGTTAGTCGACGCCACCACCATCGTACGTTCAAAATAATCTTATGTTGACAACGGCGACGACAACTTTTAATTAAAATCACCCTTGGGGACTATACGAGTAAAAGCTTTGCATGGAGATGGCGGTGACTTTGGCCATTATATTATATACAAAGAGTTATTGCACTGAAAATCCGCACACGTCGCAATAGATTAAAGCAAGTTCCCATCGACGTTTTTCCACAGAAAATAACACGTGAGGTAAAATCTTTGATATCTGATACTATGACCGTATGCAGAGTAACTGTGGATGACAATTAAGTTTTGTAGGAAAAACTGTCCACTATCGATTAAAAAATAAATATGATGATTGTATTATATTCATATTGAATGTCTACAGAAATAATTCATAAAAGTCAGATTTATAAAACGCGAATACAGTGATAAATATCAATCTAATAATAATTATTTAAATTTAAAATATATTTACACCAAGATATTTTTATTTTAATATTTATTATTATTATTTGTTTTATTATGTAATGCATTCAATTTTTAAGAGGACCATTTCAAATTGATCTTAAAAATTAAAATATGTAAACAGTTATAATTTTACACTCCAAAAGGTTTAAAAATAAATAATTAGTACAATAAAATAAAATTTAAAAGCAAATAATAAGTAGTTGCTAAAATAATAATTAATCAGTCATTTTAAATAAAATCAACAGAAAATAAACGTTATAAAATATAATAAGACAAGAAAAATAAACAATTATTTATGACGCATATAATAATACAATATACAAGAGGCAAGAAAAAGTTTTCATGCATCGTCGAAGATCCTTGAACATTAGTGATAAAAAAAGAGTTGGCTAACCAAGGGTTGTTGGCCTTTCGTGAAACTTTTGGCCATTCATTGCTTTTTTTACAAGTATGCAATAAAAAAAGGTATCAAAAAGTCGGCCAAGCACCCCAGCGTCAGGATGCATATCATTTGAAACACTTTTAATATTTTTTTTTATTTTTATTATATTTTTTTTCGTTGTTGTTTTACAAACTATCTGACCAAATATGTTTTTTTTTACTATACCCACATAATTTTTGAACCTAATGACATTGAAAGAAATATGAAAATGTTCGATCACTGTTATTCTTTTTTAATGTTCTTGAAACAAAAATCAATCCGTTAATATTTAAATGATTAAATAGCGCTAGATACATAAGTATATAACAGTTTTTAAATTCACAAACTCATTCCATTTATGACATTTCAATCTAGAGATGTGAGTTTTTATTATACAGAAGTTTAAAACTGTATTAAATACATAATATAAAATTATTTTATACAGGCATTATAAAAAAAAAAAAAAAATTAAGGCATTATTTTTAGTTATTATTATCATAAATAATATTTTTATTATTTATTATTATCGTTTTATAATTTTAATATGTTTATTTAGCATTCATATGTTTAAAATGACTTAAATTAATTATACTATTATAATATTGTTAATATAAGTATAATTAGATAGAATATATTATATAAGTAACAATTATTATTTCTGTATTTCTATTTAAAAATTTAACATAAATAAACAATACCCTTATACCTTTAAACTTTTTAAAGATAAAATTATATTTTTCACTAAATTTCTGACAGTAAATATAAGAACTTATTACTTATAAAAAGTAAAAAATATGGGACTCAGAATTTAGTAGATATATTTATATGTTAATTTTCAAACAATAAATAGTGACTCAAATCCCAATTTATTTTGAAATTTATCAGGAAAATTTATTTGATATTTTAAGGATATAATTTGCTATAAATTATAAATTATTAAAATATTTTGAATTTAAATCATTTTTAGCTATTAGGTATATGAATATATGGTACATGGTGCATCATAATTGGTGTAGTATGTTTAAATATTAATTTGTTGAATTTGGTCAAAAATAATTCTTATATTATTATGTATTTTTTTAATGTTTTCTGGTCTTTTAGCCATTTTTAAATTAATAAATAATTTTAAAATGATTTATATTTCCCAATTAACAATGGTTTTATAATAAGTATTACATTTTTGATAATTTAAGGTACTTTAAAGTTTTATACGGTATAATAATGTTATAAAAAAATAAATAAGTTTCAATAGAATTTAAATGTTTTTAAACGTAATATTACACGTAAAAACACACTTCTTTTTAAAACCAATACTGCTGTTCTAGTGATTTTATTATTTCATAACTGCTGTATTTTCTTAAAAAAAATGTAATTTCCTAAATAAAACATCAATATGCTATATAGTAAATATATAATATTTTAGAGAATTATTTTCTGTATAAAAATATAGAACAAATTTAATGGAAAAAATGTCAAACTCGTATACATAGAAATATAATGTAAAGTTTATCTTTCTAAAAATAATATTATTATTTTCAAGTTAATAGGTATTTTGAAATATATATTTAGCACATCAAATACGATAGGAATTAAATAAAATGTTTTATTTAATATGACACTTAACATTGACATATTAAATACCTTATCATTCAAATGCAATGTTTATTAATAACTATACACAAGATAATCCTTTTATCGAATAACATATTTAATTTAAAAATCTATTTATATTTTTGAAAATATTTTTTATATAATTTCCAATCAAAATAAAACAAATTATTATTAAATATTTTTTATCAATATATTTTTTTAAGTTTTTAATTTTATGAATGACATTATTTTTAAGTTCTAATATTTAACATTTAGGTGAACGGAGTAAAGTGCTAATGGATAACCCGAAAAATGTTGATTTACTACTCAATTTAACTAAATTTTAAGTACTTAGAATCTAAAAAATTTTCATATGAATTTCAATTTATATGTATCAAAATACTACGGAACAATTTTGCTTCAGAATATGAAATTGAAAATGTATATTATCATTTTTTTTTTTTTAAACTAAAAAAAAAATTATAACTTAGAAAAATATTTAAAATATTGTTTTTTTTTTTTTCAATTGAAAATATTTAAAAAATATAATAGATTTTGAAGTCATGAGTGTTATTTTATAAATAAATTACTAAGTATTATAATATTTATAAAGAAAATTAGTGTTTTGTTTTATTAACTCACTGCTTCCGTATGGATCGGATGGACAGCAAAAACAATTCCAGCCAAAAGTCCATATTTATGTTCTAATCCAGCAACTGAAATGCACAGACGAGCAAATAAAACACTACAAATGCCATGAAGGATAACATTGACAACGTGAAACCACACAGGTTGAAGTCCAAATATATAATGGTTCAATCTGTAACACAAAAATATATATTTATTGTATAAATTAACATATTTTGTTAATTCTTTTTCTTGTAAAATGCTGTTCTTGTACATTTGTTACCTAAATATATTTATTTGTGAATAAAAAATAAATATTGGTTTGGCAACAATCTAAATAATCTTAGGAATAAATAAGCCTTTTAAAGTTTAGTTTTCCTAAAAAAATACTGCGAAAGTTAGATAGATAATTCAAAATCATCTATTATTAGTCCGTTGTTATATAAAATGTAGATTTCTCATCTGAATTAAAGATAACAAAAAACTTTTGATGTTTTCGTATTAATTAAATATATTAATATTTAAATAATATAAATTTTTATGTCTTTCAAAAGAATTTCCTAACACTACTTATATAATATTATTGCAAACATAAATATAGACATTCAGTTTATAGTAAAATACTGATGCATTTAAACAAAAAATTGTTAGTTACACACATAAACGAGTTAGGAATCTACAATTTTAATTTAAACTATTAAAAAATTTGCACTCCGAAGTATTGGAAAGAGTTAATTTTGAATTCAGCTCAAATCTATATTTAAGAAAAATAAATTTGATCTATTTAAATAATATTTCTTATTGTTTTAAATTTATTCGAAAAATTCTTATGAACGTTTTTAGTAACTATTTTTATACATAATATTTTACTTCAAATAACATAAATTTAAAAATACTTTGAAATTTTTGGATAAGTTCTATTTTACGCAGTTTTCATTACTTTTAATCACTATAAATTTGTATTAAGTATACTATTTTCATCTAAAATAAATTGTATTCATAATTAAAGTCATATCTCTGTATATTGTGTATAATACGGAATGAAAATATTTAAATTCTATTATTAATAGTAGTATTATTTATTACTTTTTAGTTATATCTTAATATTAAAATCTAGTTATTGGATATAAGAAAAATATATTTAAGCCTGTAAAATATGTTTTTAAATTCAGCATTATCAACAAGTAATGCACTAATTAAATCAAAATTTAAGATATTGTTATAACTTATGCATTTAACAAATCATTTAATATTTTTACAACGAGTTATTTTTTCATACTTTTTTCTACGTATAGTTTGTTGCTATTATTTACAATATACTTAAAAAATACGAAAAATAAAAAAAAGAAAAACATAATTACTATCTGTTTTTAATTTTTAAAATCAAAATATTCAGTTATTGTACACAAAGTGTCTACTAAAATACTATTATTTGACCATCTTAAAATATGAATTTAAATAAATAATTTAAAATTACTAGCATTTAGTATACAAAAAAGTTCTAAAAAACTTATTTATATTTTTTGAATTGTTATTTTATATGCTAATAACATTATATTTTTGTAAATAAAAAAAACATAAGCGAGTTAATAAAACAATATCCTAGTTTATTTATAATTTTTGTTAAAATATTATCTACACTAATATTATATACATTGAATTTTATTTTATTAAAAATGTATTATTTAGTATGTATAATTTATAATCATTTAATGATACTCTCTTAATTTTTAATTGGCAATTATAATTACCAAAGTTTAGTGTATTTATCATTGGGAGTTATACTCCTATTATGCATAATAATTTAAGCTACCTCTACTATGTCTTTATTAAGATTGTATATTATTGCTATTTAAATGATTTTTAACAAAAATAAAATACTCGTCAATAAGCATTTGAAAACAAAAATTAATCAGATAATTAATTTATTTTTGTTTATCAAATATATCTAGATAATTATATCATATATTTACATTTTCAATATCTTTAAAGTATTGAAATTTGTAATTAATTGAATTATCTAAATATACTTTAAAACTGAATAATTTAATTAAAATCAATTTTGCAGTTTTATTTAATTAAACTTAAAAAATTATTTTTTATTGTAATATACTTAATTTAAAATTATAAGTTATTATAATTCACTTACAGAAATACTTCAAATGTTTGTGTATATATATATATATATAATTGATACTGTTACTATCTACTAAATTATATAAATTAAACAGGTTTAAATATAAAGTGAAAAAAAAATATTAAAAATATTAATAGGTAACATAGAAAACAGAAAAAAAAATATTTAAATTAATTCAAACCATGAAGAAATATATATCTGGAAAATGAGTAAATGAATAGGCCTGTAAATAGTGGCGTCGTATAGACAGTTTTCTGAGACTAACGACTGAATCATAATAGTAATACAAATATATAATGAATATGAGGTGTAATGGTAAAGAAGGCCATTATATTATTAGTTTATATTATATAGTATATATAGTATATTTCTATAGTCATAAAATTTGCAATGTATTTATCACACAACTCCACGATATTCATTTATTTTTCTAAATTACTAAAATATAATTTCAAAGTTCACCTTTTAATTATTGAAAGATTTTATTGACAATACATGGTTCCCGCTGGGTTTTCAATTAAATTTAAATGATATTTTCATAATTTAGTTTTTAATTGATAATATACTTAATGATTCAATTAATTAACTGTTTTTTTTTTTTTTTGGCCATAACCCAAACTAGTTGGAAACGGATACTCGATAAAAACTATTTGCTCGATTTGTGATGTAGACCATGCCAAACTTTTTCAACTTATAATTAAAACTGAGAGATTATATTCTCTTCTGAAATAATTAAAACTGGGGGTTATTCTGTGAAGAGCTTAAACTCTCGTGGAGAATTTTACTCTAGCAAACGATTATCCACAAGTTAATTTAAATAAAGCCTATGCAAGGAATATAGATTGCAGCAAAGTCCGAGTGCCTGAATTCCCACCCTAGTTCTTCTTTAAAGAAGTCATTTTAAAACTTTTCCCATCACGTCAACAAAGGTAAGAAATAGCAAGTAGCTAAAATGTAACTGATGTGATTAAAACACTGCGTAAATCGATTATTTTGTCAAACTACCTCCATCGTAGTTATAGGTTAATTTAAAAAGTTGTGTTGATTTGGAATTCTTTAAATGTAAATTAAAATGTTCAAAAACTTTCAATGAATACGAAATTTTGATAATATTTTAACAGTTTAAATACGATTATACCTCATAAATATTACATAGGCAATTATTTGTATAAACATATAGACATTGATGTAGAGAAATCAAAAAAATAGACATATAGTATTATATAGTGTATAATATACCGTATTATAAGTCAATATTTATTTTCATTATATTCTTTTTTTTTTTTTTTGAACAAATATAATATAGTTATAAAATTTAAAACTCGCATTTATTATAGTTAGGAACTTTTTTCATTTGAAGCCCAAACTCAGTTATCTTTTTCATCAGTTTTTGAAATTTATTTGTATGCCTAACTTGTATACAAAAAATTTGTAAATTTATACTTCTGAAATACTTTAAACAAAGTAAAATAGAGTAATTATTATTTAACTATCGTCTGAATGTACTTTAGATAATAACATAGTAATTACAGTCGATTTTTTTATAAATATACTGTTAACGCCACAATTAACATTATTATACTGCTAAACTGCTTAAACAAAACATATAATTATATTCTTCATTTAATTCTAAACGATTCAAGTAATGAATTAATGAAAGTGAATAAGTACTTTTTTTGATTAAAATTCAAGATTATTTGAAATACTGTGTGAATACAATTTTAATGTAAACTATTATTATAGAAAACAACATGCTCATTACTTAAAAATATGATAATTCAATAATCTTCACTGAGTAACCACAAATTTAAATTATTAATTTAATAGATTATATTAGTTTAATGAACTAGCTTTATGTTGTTCATTCAGAAGTAATCAAATTAATGAAAAAAATGTTTGTGTTATGGTTACGAGTATTTCATTTTTATTTTCAGCAATCATAACAATAATACGCCTACGTCAAAAATGTATTTATTTTTTTAATGTTAATAAAAAACATTAAAAAACGTTTTAATTAATAGAGATTTGGACTTTTGAAAACACTCTTTATATTTATTATTATTATAAATTAATAAAATCTATGGCATAAGCTCATGGAGCATGAGTTAATTGATGTTAAGCATCTATATGAAATTAAACCCCTTCAATTACATTAAAAATTTAATAAAGTACACGATTAAGTGTTAATTAACTTTATTGCGATTTGTTAAATCAAACTTTCTTAATTGATTTGATATTTTTATTTGAATATAACTTAGTACTTACAATAAATACTTACTTATAATAATTTAATTTCATACAGTTACTATTAAATTAATGAACCTATTTATATTATCAAACATGTATGTAAAATAAAATGTTATCTTATGCATCAAAATAATTAACAAAATATAAATATGTGAAAATAAAATAATAAACACGATACACAAAGAACACATTGAATAGAAAGTACTTATTATATTATTTAAAGATTCTTAATTATTATTTTGATAATAGTCTAAGGTATTATAAGTAAATGAAAATATATACATCATTCGCATATTCGTTTTTATTCTAAGTAAAAGTCAATAAGTAAGCCGTTGATAAAATTGTATTTTTAATATACCAAAGTAGGTTTGAATTACATTTATTTTAGACAAAACTTTAAAAAACCATTTTAAAGGTTCGGTTTTATTATTATTTTCATAAAACTTAAATTTAGTGGTGATTCAAGTTTGCAAGAACAAAGTACCCATTGAGGATTATTATTTAGCACGCAAATATGGTATTTGAACTTTAAGCATTATTATCTCGCAAATATTTAATGATTAGATACCTAGTAGATTAGTAAATTTAAATAATTGCATTAAGGTGGCTATTTAAAAACAATATTTTTTACAATGTTCACTATAAATTTATTTTGTATAATATTATATGTTGGTAAGAGAAAATACTTTTATTCGTTTATTTTTACCTTGAATTTTTTTTTTTTCTAATGAGATTCTACAAAACACAAAGCCTATATACGCGCCCTTTGCGTCAAGTAATCTGATTAGCCGTACATGACGGCCAGTATG